TGTGGGAGATGGCCACCTGGGTGGTCCTAGGTTGTGTTTAAAAGCAAGTTGAGTGAGCTATGGGGAGCAAGCCAGTAAGCAGTGTTCATGGGTGATCTCTGCTTCAGTTCCTGCCTCCAGGTTCCTGCCCTGACTTCCTTCATGGTAGACTGCTGTGTGTAAGCCCTCTCCCCCCAATTGCTTTGGTTCTAGATGTTTATCATAGTACTATAAAGCAAGCGAGGGCAGACAGATCTGATGTTTGTGTAGCAGCTTGAATGTACTGAGTGTTAGTGCACTACATACTAGAAATCCATAAGATGGTACATTTTGTGCTTATCTTAGCATGATACAAGAGAGGAGTGGGTCTTTGGTGTGAAATGAAGAACAGAAAATTCACTCATCTTAGGTCACAAATCAGCGTGTCGAGGGTTTAGAAGCAGGGAATGTTTTGCAATTTGCATGTGTTGGTGATGCATGTGTGACAGTCTAAGTGTTTCCTGTTGGCAGGTTATGAACAGATGGGTGAGCAAAGTCACGTGTGCAAAGGCAAGGTGGCCTCACGGAAGCTGGGCAGGATCTCAGTGTTAGCCCATCAGAGCTCACCGAGTTTGGATGTCAGGTCTTTCAAGGGTTTCTCAAGCTGCTTTGGAGAAGCTTCCTCTCCTGTTTAGCTCACTGTGGGATCAGGGCTGTGGTATCTAATGGGTGTTCTGGGAGGTACTTCACTTAGGTCCAGTAGTCCGCACATACTGAAGACTTCAGCCAGATAGGTCTGTGAACTTAGCATCTCTGGGCTGGGGGTGCTTAGGCCGTGCAATTCTGTGAGGTCCTTGATGAAGTGTGGATGGGTTCCTAGCTTTGCATGGATTTCTGGGTCTCCCAGTGGGCTCATGTTATGTGCTTTGTTTTTCCAGCCTATTTATTTTACAAACCTTGTTCACCGTAGAACTGATTTCCTGAGGTACCTTGAAGGATTAGTACCCCATGTAGTAGTCACAGGAAAATTCTGGGCTAAGTTTAGCAGCCCCTAGGACTCCAGTTAGTGGAGGAGGCCATAGAAGAGCCCTGGGCTGCCCCAGGTGAATCCCTTCAGGAGGGTTCTAGGACCCTCTGCGTCCTCAGCCTGTGTGCCGTCTCCACCATCCTTCCTTTTAGGTGTGGAAGGATACTAGTTGGAGGCAAGGTCTTCATTTTAAAATGTAAAATTAGAAATTTAAGCTCAAGAAAAAGTGCAGAAGCATATGGAAACAAATACTTGGTGTCACTACACTTGAGATTATAGATTTTCCCACATCTGTGTCCCTGTCTCTCTCCTGTCCTCCTCCCCTCCTCCATCTCTCCCCCTAACTTTCATTCTGCCCCCTTCAACCTCCATCCTGGCCCCTCTTTCTGTTCCGTCTCCATTGGGAACAGAACCCAGGGCCCCATGTCTGCTATGTAAACACTACTGTGGTATAGTCTGCCTCTCTTTTAGAAAGAACGAAGTGCCCCCACCCCCTGCACAGAACAGGTTGGGTATTTCTTTTTTAATGGATGTTTTTGTACCTTTGCTGGATGTGAGTAATGTGTATTCACACCACTGTGAGTAGTGTGTGTGTTTATGTGAGTATACATACCACATGCAAATGGTGCAATAGCGCTAACCTTTTCATGAGATTTTGATGTGTGCATTTTGACATTGTTATGTATGCTTTAAGCCACCTTTCTCACTATAATATAAAACTCAATTGTGAGGCTATAACAGTTGGTTTTTTCCTGTTTACGCTTTATGCCAGTTAGCCTGCTTCTTGCTGATAATTGGGACAGGACCTGACAGTAGCTTCATAATGCAGCATAGTTGTTTGTATATAGAGGACTTTCTGGGTCATGAGGTCAGTGACAGAGAAGGAGAAGGAAAGTGATTCATTAAGTTGGAATATGAGCAGAAAGGCCAGGGCCTGGTGAAGTGAAATGCAGGCTTGGAGACATAGACTGGCTTGGAGACATAGACTGAGATGCGTCCTTATTGGGGCAGCTTCCTGGAGAGAACACTTGAGGCAGGTGTGTCACCTTCAGGTACACCTTCCCTCCCCCTGCAGTAGAACACTTGGAAACATTCAGCATTTTAGAGAAAAGTAGTTATTTTGTGTGTTTGTACATATTGTGTAAACATTCTTTTTAAAAGTCATGAAAACCATTAGATCCCAGACATTTGCTAGAGATTGTCCATTAGCTTAGTTCCGTGATACTCTGTAGAAGTACCTGTGTACTGGAAGCCCAGGGCACTTGGTTGGTGGCACAGGTGCCTTCCATGGAGTAAGTTTAACTTTCACATGCTGTTGGCTGCCTCCTTAACCCACTGATAACTCATTCATCAGATAACTTTGCTTATTCCAGGGGCACGGCTTTGGAGTGGGAGCAAATACACACAGAGTCTAAGGTTGACCCCGTAGCCTAAGCAGTCATTATCCTTAGTAAAATCAGTCAGTCAAGTCTGATGTGGACGATATGTTAATGTTGCCTGCTCTGGGCCAAGGTAACACCTGAGGCAGTAGTTCTATAGCCCCAGCTCCTAGCACTTGGCTCATGGTACTGTCCGACTCACTTGCATGTCACAGTCTGGTAATCTTAGTTGATCCCAAATACAGTTAGAACAAAAGAGAATCCCAAACTCCGAGGGGCCAACATGGACTATGCAGTGAGTTGGGGCCTTAGCACCACAGAAGCAATAATGAATTATACTGGAGCCAAGCAAGGCTGAGGTGGGGTGAGGAGTAGTACCAAGTACCTGATGGCCAAGAACTGAGGAGACAGTGGGCTCCTGGGCTTTTGGGTGGTCTGTTTTGTCACAGTGATATTTCACTTCAGAAATCTGAAAAGCATGTAGTACAGCTCCACTTTAAAACTGACCAAAGCAAAGCCAGTTAGCTCCAGCAGCAGATGATTTCTTACCATATTGAGAGGCTGGTTCTTAAAGCAGCACTTAGGAGGTAGCTGCTACTGTGCTGTGGCTTGTAGTTTGATAAGGAGCAGCAGCCTTGCTATGAACACCTACAGAGAGTCCAGATTTTGAAACTTCTGACTGCTCGCCGGTTTCAGTGTGATTCATGAAGTAGCCCTATTTTACAGCTCACATGTATGAAAGACAAAAGATGGCATGGCCCATACTTGCTGTCATGTAAGATAGGTTCCATATTGTGTGTGAGAGCTTCTGTAAACCATGGAGTCCACATATTAGAGTGTAGTTCCTAGGGGAGTTTCTGGCTGTGTTGTGGAGGCTTACAGTCATCTTGACGCCGCCAGACATGTTATCCTCACTGCTTCAAATTGCACAAGGAAATTCTGCATTAGATACCAAATCAGACATGTGAGTGTTGAACAGGAGGGTTGCACACCATCCTGCTGTGGCGTATTCTAGAATGTGGCGCTTTCTCTGGCTTGACTTGATGCATTGTGAAATAGCAAACTAAAATAAATAAAGCAGAGATTTCTGCAGTGCTATTATTACTTTTGTTTAACTTGCCTGCTGTAACAGCCTAGCTTCTGTGCGTGAGAACCTTGTATACTGTTTTGACCATATTTTCTGTGGTCATTGCAGGAAGGTTTTGAAAAAGAATTGGCCTGGGTTGAAAGGAACAGGAGCATTAACTTTCTTTGCATTATTTTCCTTTGATTCCATTGTATGTGCTGTGAATTAGTGCCCTGTCTTGGAGGAAAACTTTTTAGTATTTAAAAAGTTGTATTGTCATTTCTTTTTCCTTATTAAGTAGTTTTGTAGATAACTTGGCTCTTAAGTGTGAATCTGGCCCGTTTCTGAAGTGTGTGGGCTCATGGGGCTGAAGTTCTTGGAGTTCTCTCATGGACCATATTGTGGCATTATTAGCAGGATGACGTCACCATCTGCAGCAGCCAAGTGGGCTTCACTGCCTGACTCTTGTTTTTCTTTTTCTTTTCTGCTCTCTGGGTTGGGTACACAAAAAAAATCTATCAAGTGAGGGGCAGAGATCACTTTGAGAGAAGCTGGAAAATGCTGTCCTTGCTGAATTTTTGCATGAGAAAGGCCTTTTCTCTGAGTAGTGAGGGACTGAGTGGTTTAGGCTCCAGTGTGTTAGAGACCTGGTCTAGCTCTGGTATTTGCAATGCAAGATTCTTAGTTTTTACCTGCTCTGTCAACTAAGAAAACTGCCCTCTGTTGGATGTCAATCTTGCCTTCAGGAATACACAGTGGGCAAGGTACTATTTGATGTAGTTAGTATCTTCTGCGTATGTATTAGCTTTCCATTACTCTGACAAAGTCTGAGAATAACCCTCTCAAACAGGAAAGCAGTTTCCCAGTTTTGAGGGCACAGAGCATGACTGGCTGGTCCTGTGGCTTGGGGCCCTTGATGGGTGGCACATCATGGTGGGAGCACATGATGGAGAAGAGCTCATTGCATGGGCAGCCAACAGAAATGCATGTGATGGGGGTTGGTGTCCCCCTGTTCCCTTGGAGAGAGTGTCCCACTGTCCTGCAGGCTTCACAGTAGGTCCAGCTTTCTACACTTGGGCCTCTGAGGCCCATTTAAGACCAAGGGGTTTTGTGTGATGGAAATGGAGTGCATGTCCCTTTCAGTGAATTGGTGCGTGGAAGTGCTGCTGTTGTTGCCCGCATCTGTTACGCATGTAGCTTGAGTGATCTGGCTTAGAAGCATGTTTGCCATACCCCGTATCCGATCACAGCCTTCCTACAGTGTGGGGATGACTTCACCCAGACCATGTGAACTTACACAGTTTGCCTGTTGCGTTTTTGAATGTCAATGTCAGAGAACCCCTACCCCTAGACGTTTATGGCTGTATCAAAACCTGATGAACTTCGAAGTATCTTTTGACTCCATCGATCATATGTGAATAGAAGCAGAAAGTCAGTTTATTGAATGAGGAGAGGTGAAAACACTGGGTTGAGTCGATCCCTCCCTCCACATGACGGAATCAAAGCTGTATTTGAGTTCGTTTACTTGCGTTTCTTCAGTTCTCATTTGCTCTGTTTGGCTTTCTTACAGATGCCACCGCAATATGGACAGCAAGGTGTGAGTGGTTACTGCCAGCAAGGCCAGCAGCCATATTACAACCAGCAGCCGCAGCCCCCGCACCTCCCGCCCCAGGCCCAGTACCTGCAGCCCCAGTCCCAGCAGAGGTACCAGCCACAGCAGGTGAGCATGGCTGCTGCCCCCAAGTCTCGTTTTCTCCTCCAGGTCTGTGTTCAGAGGCTGACTGCTCTGAAAATCCTTCTGCCCTTTAAGAGTTATTGGAGGGATGTGTGTTTTGTGTGTAAAGGGGGATCAGTTTCAAGACATGGTTTCTCTGTGTAGCCCTGGCTCTCCTGAACTCTCTCTGTAGACCAGGCTGGCCTTGGTCTGCCCACCTCTCTTCCTCCTTTGTGTGCTGGAATTAAAGGTATGCCACCACCTGGCAGGAAGTGTACTTTTGAGAAACTGCAAAAACTCTAATCTAACCCTTCCTCTCCCTCCCTCCTCCCTCTCTCCTCTCCCCATTCCATCTTACACCTAGACTGAGGACTGGGAAGAATGACTTTTAGTAATGGCTTGCATTATGGGCTTGTGGCAGCAGAAAGTGTCACTCACTCCATGTTCCTTTGTGTTCTAATCTTTCCACTTTGGTGAGGCCCTGTAGGGAGGGTTTATAGGTCACGTGACCATGCTAGTTGGCTTTTTATCTTGGCCTTTTTAGTTTGAATGTTAAGTGCTACAGCATGGAAACATGTTTGCCTTGAAGTGTTATTCTCCCGAAACTCAATTATAAACAGGAATTACTGCAATTATAGCACACTAAAATACAAACAGAATGGCCGCCGCCATGCTGTATTCAACAGCCTTCCGGTCTTCCCCTTCCTGCCCGGCTCTCTCCTCCTCTCTTGTTTTGAGGGGGGGGGATCTCACTTTTGATCCTCCTGCTACTGCTCTCCTGAGTGCTGGGACTGTGTACTGCCACCATGCACATCTAGTTTCTGGTTGCAGTTAGACAAATTACATATTTGTGGAGGCAGGTAAGATGGCTGAGCAGGTAAAGCCGCCTGCCTGAACCTGATGAGCTGAGTCCACTCCACAGGACCCGCATGATAGAAGGAGATCAGACTCCCACAGTTTGTCCTCTGACTGCCACCTGTGCACACACACAAATACATAAATGTAATAGAAATGAATAAGTATTTGTTATTGGGCCATATATTTGAGCTTACACAGTTGAGAAAAATAGTATAAAATATAAATGTATTTGGGTGAAACGATTCTGTTTCATGGTTGCTCTTGAATGGGTTGAGGTGTGAGGAGTTGAGAGCCTGCTCTGTGCCCAGATATGCCCAGTAGTGAGTGGTCCAGTCTCCTGCAAAGCAGTTTGTCCCTCTGTATGCTAACCTTTTCCTCCTCCGTCCTTTCTCTTGTGTGGGATAGGTGTGGTAAGGAGAAGATGAATATGTGTGACCCAGGCCTTGTCATCTTTAAGGGCTTCTTTATGGAGCGAATAGATTTCTGACCTTAAGTTAAATGTGTAAACATGTAGTGGTTAATTTAAAAACTGTATTGGTCTTAGTTATATATATGTGTGTGTCTGTGCAGGTTCATACACATGAGTGCAGGTGTCCTTGGGGGAGTCAGGTTATGCCTTGAGCTGGAGTTAGAGGTGGTTGGGAGCTGTCATATGTGGATCCTGGGGATCTAACGTGTGTCCTGAAAGAACAGCAAGTGCTCTTAACTGCTGCACCCCATGGAACTTACTTTTAATGGCGTGCGTTTTAAAACTGTATTTGGGGATTTGATGAAGTTCATTGCCACATGACTTGGGTTATAATGTTGTGAAGGGACTTTATGACTTTAAGCAAAGCCTATCAGAGCCACTGCAGAGAGTGGAGATGGTTTTTAGTCCTGCTTCCTGCACACGTATGTTTTACAAGCTTCCGCAGCGAGTCCGGGTTTATGGGAGTGGCATGCACAGAACTGCAGTCACCTCGTCTGGCTCTTACTAGTATGTGAACGTTTCAAGCACTTCAGTATCAGCCCCTGTAAGTGGGAGAGACTGGCCTCTGGGTTGTAATAGATGAAGTTATAGGCTCTTGCGAGGGCTTTCATAGCCTTATTGAACTTATCTGTGGGCATGGGATGTTTTGTCACTTCACTGAAGCACTTGAGTAGAGATTGCATCACTCATTTTACTCTGGTGTGCCGAAATACGTCTCAATTGTAGAAGCAGTTTGCTAAGGACTCTGAGCACCTGTCACTTCCTCAGCACCAAGCTCCAAATTCATTTCCTTTACTGCTTCCAGAAGACAGCAATTAGTTACTTACTGTCCTTCATATGTAGATATTGACAGCTGTGCCACAGGTAGCTCCTGTTTTAATGAATACTATTTTATTGTACTTAGTTTAGGGTTTCCTTTGTTGTTGTTATATTACTGTTCTTTTATTGACTTGAATGCATTGAAGTATGTGATAAGAAATACTGTATCTTATCCCATGATGGCTTATTATGAAAATCATCACTGAAGGGGGAGGGACTGGGAGGAGAAGAAGGAGAGGAAATTTTGGCTGGGATGTAAAATAAATGATAGACAAAAACCCTAAATGAATATATTGTTATTTAAAAAAAAATAAAGGAAAATGGTCACTTAAAAAATGTATTCTGAGTAAAACCAAACATGTCCAGGAGTTTTCTCTTATGTTCTAAATCTTTTTGTTTGTTTGTTTTTTGTTTGTTTGTTTTTTTTTAAACAGAGTTTCTCTGTGTAGTCCTGCCTGTTCTGGAACTTGTTCTGTAGACCAGGCTGGCCTTGAACTCAGAGATCCATCTGCCTTTGCCTCCCAAGTTCTGGGATTAGACATGTGCTACCACCACCCTGTTATATCCTAACTTTTGATCTATAGAATATCTGAGTATTTTTAGGCTTAATTTAATATCTAATACAGAGACTATTATGTATTTTAAAAAAAGCTATAGAAAAAAGTTTCTTGCCATCTTAGTTACACTAGTCATAGCATCACCCATACCACCCTCCGCCAAATAATCACACTATTATAGATGCACATGTACAATCATTTATGTATGTATGTTATATATTTATATTTGAGATTGTATAGTATCATCTTGTAACTCCTGCTCTCCTTTGTACAATTGAAGGTGTACTGTAATACTGTGTTTATTATTTGTTACTCTTTTATCCACTCGAGTAAAAATATTTTCTTCAGCTCTTTTCCTTTATAGCCTTATTGGGTTTTACAGACATATCATAATATATTTAGCCAGTTCTCTTTAATGACATTGAGGTCGTTTATAATTCAAACAGTATTGTCCTTATAACCTATGTCCACATTGTCTCTTAAGTAGAAAGTTGTATCTGTATGGTAATTTGTACAGGCCACATTCGTTGTCAGAGGGTGAGCGTGTTTCCTCTTCCAGATGGCTCACTGTGGAGGCTGCCTCAGTTTGTATACTACATTCCATGGATACTTGCTATCTCATATTCCTTCTGGGAAGCCGTGCTGATTGTATTTGAAAACATTTCTGTTGCCTTTTTCCTGGGCTATAAATTCATGTCTTTTAATCTTGACTTCTTTCAGTTTGGTTTTGATTCATGAGAATTCTGTGCATTTTGTGGACTCCCCAGGACCCCCCTTCCAGTGTGTGTGTGTGTGTGTGTGTGTGTGTGTGTGTGTGTGTGTATGTGTGTGTGTGTGTGTTGTTAAGGAACTGGTTTGTTTTTAGTGTGGGAATGGAGGGTAGTGGGACACATGAGATGGGTAAAGGTGCTTGCCACCATCCCTGATGAGATGTGCTCGGTCCCCCAGGACCCACATGGTAGAAGGAGAGAAGTTACTTCCACAAGGTTTCCTCTGACCTCTACAAGTGCCGTAGGATATGGAATGTATATGTGTGCACATGAACAAAATAAATGAGTGTTTAAAACACACAAACAAGACAAAATAGATGGAATGAGAAGTCTAAAATTTGTACTGTGGATTGGAGACCTTGTGCAGGTGTGGTCTGAATGGATCTGCTTTACCTGTGGCCTACTTGAATCTGGCCCCTCCTCAGGAATTGCATGATAGTGTGCGTGCCCATACCGTGGATAGCTATTTGCTTGATTCAAGTCACCACGTAAATGATTAATTTGATCCAGGAGTATATAAAATTAATTTCTGCAGCTGTCTTCCCTCTGTGGCCTGGAGATGTCTCTTCTGTGGTTTGCTGAGTCTCCTGCAATGTGGTGTTCGAGTTTCTTCTGGGTTCCTGTTCTTTTCCATTTGACTTTCTATACTTTTTTTTTTTTTCTTCTTCTTCTGGTTGGTATGTGCTAGTTGCATATCCTTAGTGTTCTCTTTTCAACGTTTTCTTGGCTACTTATGTTTTACTGTGTAACTCAGACTGGCCTGGAACTTCCTGTTCTCCTATCAGGCTAGGCATGTGCTACCATGCCTAGCCTGAACTTTCATTTCTTACTGTTTTAACCCCTAATGAATGTCTGTTTTGTTGTTATTGTGATTGTGTCTTTTCTTTCCTTATGTATTTTCTTTGGAATAGTTAATACTTAGGAAAATGGAAAAGCAGTCAGAACACGGTGTGCAGTTGAAGCCCATCCGCTGAAGGCCAAGGGCATGTGGTACTGAGTGTGGTCTATTCAGCTTCTTGGGCTTTGTTCGGGCCAGAGAGGAAGCTGGCCTAAGGAACTGGAGGAGCATCTTGGAAAGGAGGTGGCTAGTGGCACTGGGTGTGGTGCAGAAGAGGGGTTAGGGCATGAGAGTCAGCCCTCAGTCAGCTGCTCTCAAGACCCTGGGGAAAATGGTGATTTGATATTTTCCTAACTGGCAGGAGGAGGAATAAAGTGGGGGAGAGCTGACACTTGTAGAGAAGGGGTTGTGAAGCCTCTACCTGCCCTTCTTCTCCTTTACACCTGACTGCTCCATCCACTGTAGCCCACCATTAGCCATTCTTTTAGGCAGACTTAAATTTCCTTTATATTCTTTAAGAGCACCCCCGCCCCCTCTTTTGGCTAGGGATAGCCCTGTGCTTTCCTCTTCTGTTGCTCTTGTCAGCTGTATTCTTTGAAGAGCTATCTCACCATTGCTGTGTGGCTGTGATGAACTCAGTGCCTTGGTTTTCCCCACATGGTTGCGGTAGGTTCTTGACAGTGCTATACTCTTTC